CCTGGTACACCTTGAGGGGTGGGGGGTGTCCCTCCGTAGTTCTTCTTTATTATCCTTCTTTAAAGGAGGTGTTAGATTGGAGCTTCACTGACGGATTTATAAACTGTTGCGCGTATGGTCCGCTTCAGAATCTCTTAGTGGTCTTGTCACTGAGCAGGAAAAGAACCATGGAAGTTGTAGGCAGTGAGCCCTGTGCTGGTGCCTGCGAGTGTGTTCTGCAACGTGCTGCCACCTGTAGCTGTAATGCTGAGCGGAGATACCACCCTCTGCAGTTCTCAGAACTTCCAGGTGCTTTCTCTGATTTGCTGTAAAGTACAACTCTTCTTAACTGCATCTTTTCCAAGCAGCTCCACCCGTGGGAGTTTCCAAAGCCTGCTCATCGTGCGTGAGAACTGCTGATGTCAAGGAAGCATGTACACAGTGCGACCAGTTTGTCTGCCAGAACTGCAGCAGGCTCTGCAGCAGCTGTAACACAGTTACATGTTCTTTGTGCTCCACTATTGAGTAAGTGCCTTTTGAATTTTTAAGCTTATTTTAATTATATATGCCCTGAAAATTGGCTGTAGCATATAAAGACCCAACAGGTATCTAGCTCATCCACATAAAGGACCTGAACTCTTCTCATGTTGCTTTAACAGCAGTAGAACTGTCTGAAACATGGAAAATAAAATGCCTATGTGAAGCAGTCCGATCAGTCTTCGTGCAAGTCTAGTTTAGCTTCTCATTTAAATGTTCTAGGAGGCAAAAGTTCCTCTTGGTTTCCTGCCAGCAATATAGTGTACTGGCCAGTGATGAATGAATGTGCTCCCAAGGAGTAATCTTAAGTTTTTGCTGTCATTGTTAGCAGTTCTGTGATATAAAGAATTATTGAGTGTGCTGTGTTGGAGTGCCATGGTTACAGTTGATAGTGGAATAGGATGGCATTTTGTTATGTTCCAGAAGCAGTAGACACTGACTTTCTTTTGGTTTTCTTCTTTTTTTTTTTCCTAGTTATGGTGATGTGGGAGAGCAAGTTCTCTGCAATGGTTGTTCGATATTTCAAGTCTGAAACTTGATGAAATAGCCTTTTTGGCTAAGATGTCTGTAAATTTCATGAAGTCTCCTCCTTACGGCCGATCAATTGATCCTTTTAGCATGTGAATTAGTTATGGTATTTCTACATTTTATATCTTTATATTGTACTTTTTAATATTGTAGCTAAATAAACTTTTATATTTTGAGTCTTTCTAGATTATTTCAAGTCAACTTTCTCCTTTTCCCTAGTTGTCATATGCCTGTCTGGAAGGGACCACTTTATGCTCTTACCTGGTGTTCCTTATGTGATACAGAATTCAGAATATTCATCCAATGTCTCTCCACTTGTTGCTCATGTTAGGACACACTGTTGTGGGATCAGAATAGAAATCAGTTGCTCCTTGTGTGCTTTCAGGTGAGCATAAATCTTTTCTGGACACACAACATTTTCTTTGTGAGCTAACTAGGAAAATCAGCCAGGCCTGAAGCTTTTTCCAAATAGAGAATTCACTGATTTCTAGTTAAAATTTTTTAAACTGTCACAAACGTCTTATCATTACTCAGAGCTTGAATGAATTTAATTGTTCTTTCCACGGTAACTTTGATAGGAAGAACAATGATACACAGACTTAGGGAACAAAAAAAAAGCTTTTCTCAGTAGTTAACTGTCAAAGACTAATTTTCCTGTACCCTCCTTGCAGGATCTTTCTTGGAAAGTGGCTTGTTGGTCATCTGCACTGTAAACTTCATATTGTCCTGAATACCCACTCAAAAATAGCTCATGAAGTGGTCTGAAAAATGGTCAGCACTCGAGTGTACATCTCCTTAAACTAGCTTATTCCTCATTTTCCTTTCATATCACTGCAGAGACCAGTTTGCATAGTATTGTTTGTGCTGTAGGAGTGAGGCTGTCATTAAGTACTACTGGAAAGCCCCTAGAAGTAATTCTTTTTTGCTATGTTTTTAAAAATAAAAACACCGGACTTTTCATCTTGCAAACCAACTATGCGTAAGACAAAACTACCGTGGTCTTTACTTCAGGAAAATGATGACTTAAGTGGCTGATTTCAGACTGTCAGAAAAAAGGAATAGGGTGTGTGGGGGGGAGAAATTCTCACGGCACTCTTAGCTAATGCTGTTTCCCAAATTATTTGCCCTGAATTCCCAAAGCAAAGCCTGCTACTCATGCTTCCCAGTCTTTTCAGCTGTGATTAGTATGTTTTGTGTGGAGTAACTTTTTTTACCTCTTCCCCTCCACTCTAGCCATTTCTACTTGAAGAAATTGAAAGGCCCTTGCACTGCAAGTTGAGAGACTTACTTCTGTCTTGTGGGGACATCTTTGACATGCTGTTGAAAACATACTGGATATTTTTATATTTTGGAATACTGTAACCAAACAGAACAGTAAATGCTTTAGCAAAGGGTGGGATGATAGCTATTGCTGAATAGCGGTACTTCATAGCTGCACATTGCATGGCTTTGGATATATCAGCCACAATGAGGTGCAGGGTGACATTCTTTGTATAACTATGCAAAGACACTTTACCCTGGGGGCGGGGAGGTAATTTCACTACTAGGTCAACTGTGTACTAGCCTAGTCTGGCTGATGGGACTGGTTTGTTTCCCTGTTCTGTATGCTTTGTAGCCAGTTCGAATGGGAGAGTTTACTAGTTGTAGTCCAGTCTTGATTTTGAGCAACTGTAAAACATATCTTGTCCCTGCCCCCAAAACAAACCAAAAAAGTCTAAGTCAGTCTGGTGAGCTAGTAGTGAAAGTATTAGTCGGAGTGTGCAGTAATTCCACAGTATTATCTATCTTTTCAAAACTGTAACAGATTAAGTCCGGAGGATATCGGATCTCTGGTGCAGTTCCCAGCTATCAGGTATCATAGGGCAGATAAAAATGTTGTTCCGTGCTAATAATCTTAAAACACAAAGCTGAGTTTTATGAATGGGAAGAATCTGTGGGTTACTGCATTTAAATGTTAGTTTTAGGAAAGAATTTTAAAACTTGGCTTTGTTTCATTTGAAGCTTTAAGCAGTGAACAGAAAAATATTTTTCAGTCAAGCATATTTTTCAAACTGAAACTTTAAGTATGTGTCTGCTTTTTCTCATTCTCTCCCAAGGGTGAGACACTGAAAATACTGTTTTGCTTGTAAACTCCCAGAGAGATGAGACATGTTGTTTACAAATGGTTTGTGTTTCAAAGTAGTTGATAGATACCTTTTTTGGCTCATTTAGTCACTGCTGTATTTCGTAGAAAGCTATCCTCTGTAAACGATGACGTAGATCTCATGGCTTAAAGTTCTTACTTGTTATCCTCTAGCCTGCCTCTTGAAAGATGATTGTTCATTAGGACAGATACCTGATATGGAGTGAAGAGCTGGGAGAAGAAAATAAAGCAGGAGGGCTGGAAGAGAAGGGTTAGAGGCTGGGAGGAGCAGGGCAGAAGCACAGAACAGCGTGGTCAACACTGGCATAGGGGTGGTGCATCATACCTGTAAGAAATGTTTTTTAGTGGTTACCAGCTCACTTGCTTCTCTGGTTTGAGAAGCTATGAAAAACTGCTTCTCGCGTGTTTGTATCTCCCAAAAGACTCAAATATTATTGAGGAAAGTTCCTGCTCTAGTCCTGCAGCTCTTAGATGAACAATGGGAGGTAGGACTGGGGACTGTTTTTAAATCTTCATATTGTCTACAGAAAAAATACCTATGGGAAGAATCTTTGGATGAGAAGTCCAAAGATTTTTCTCTATGTCTAATTAACTCCTACTCAGAAGGCCTTGTCTGTTGCCACGGGTCATAGAGCTGCACATTGCGTACTCATAGGAAAACCAGAGAAATTGTCTGGTTTATTAATTAAGCAGGAAATTTTTTTTTATATACTGTGCTTTGTTGTTATTATCATAGGTTCTTCCCCTCCTATTCAGTGCAAAGTGTCAAGAATCAAAGTTTGCCTGCTGTTCAGAGGGAAGGAGATCCTCTGAGAAGCCAGCATATTGATGGGTGAAAGTATCCTGCAATAATGATTTCACAGATGGATGAGAAACTTCTGAGGCCTGTATATCATTACTGGTGAAATAAGTCTCAAAGAGCGCAGTTTTATGTCTGAAAGGAAGTCAACTGATCTGATCAGGATAAAACAATTTCTTTTAAGCCTAATATGTGCGTAAATACTAGAAATGTATCATTTCAGTTACCAGGTATCCCTTTAAGGGCAATCTAAGGTGGTAAATGGCTTCAGTAGTCTCCAACATCTACAATCTGCATTAGAACAAAACCACACAATTTTATGAAGAACTTCAGTAAAAAGCACAAATATACTTGAGTTATCTCCTTCAACAGCACGTATCCATTACATGCATCCCTCATAGCAGTGTTACGTTCTTGGTGGGTAGATCAGATTTGGTGGTTACACAAATAACCTTAGTTCTGTGCACACATACACACAGTAATTCCTGTATGTTTTGCAGATCAGGTCAGAAGCCTCTTTGCTTTCCAAGAGAAAAGTGAGCCATTCTGCAGATGATCCAGACAACCTTTAAAAAATAAACAAAACACTTAGCTCAGGACACAAATCTAACCAGTGCCATTGTGTGATTGCTACATCTTTTGTTTAATACAGCCAGCACCTAAGCCTCTTCCATTCATTTTAGTGTGCTACCCATTTGAACCCTGACTTGTAGCAAATTAATAGCCTTTGTTTTTTTCCTTTCTGAGCAGGTGATAACTAGATGCAGCTGTATTTTTATCTCAGGACAGGGCACAGAACCCAAGTTATTTAGGCGTAGTGAAAGATGATGTCCTTTTTTTCTTTATGAATATGGGTAAGACATTTACGCTTTGCTTCTATGCTATGTTTGCTACCATCAGCTGTGAGATACTAAGAAGTGGCAGCAATCTACAAATGGTTTAAATCTTCTGAATCTTTTCTGAAGAGGTGGAACCATGAAGTAGAAATGGAAACAGTATCTTTGTCTCTGGATTCCTTAGGTCTTTTGAAAATGCACAGCTAGCCTCTAGGTGAATTGGTTAGACTGCTGCAAAAAACAGCACTATACAAATAACACATACTTCTCTCTTTCACCATGGAGGACCCTACTAGTAGTTGCATGATGGTTTTGTGTTTTCACAAGATCACGCTGGATTAAAGATTGAATCCTACCAAAACTTAACTGATACTAAACTCTCACCTATGCTCTATGTGTACAAACTTACATATACTGCTCCTTTGTGGTTTTTTGTTAGTTGTAATATTGTTTCATTATGGCAGACTATTGGCAACTATTAGCTATTTGTGCCGCCATTACCTTCCAAGATTGTGTAGCCAAACTTTGTGGCATAAGGTTGGGTGTTAGAGTTTTGCAAGTGTGAAATGAGAGGTTGGTGAAGGCTCTTCCAAGAGAGCATCTTTCTTCCAGTAGGCTTTTGCCTGAGGTCAGATAAGACTAAGAAAGACCACATGTACCCCTATGTTGAGTTTCCTTGTGCTGTTTCTTCCATTCTCTTTAGGATTTTCATTACTAAATCTTACAGGGAAAGGTAGCAAAGCTTTGAACATTGTGTTTTGTTCGTATTGAAGCAAATTGGTTAACCTATTAAAAGTAGCCACGAGGCTTCAGAAAATGTTAATTCTTCTTTAAAAAAATAAATAGGAGGTATGTAATTCAAAGAGCAATACTGCTTGTGGATACAAAATTCAAAGAAAATTTATTCTAAATCTTACTTTCTATTTTACATTAATAAAATTGCAAGAGTGAAAGTGATCAGATACTGTATATTTTATAATATTTTAATGACTATCACAGTTATGTATATAACTCTTCTTTTTCTTTTGTATAGATATTTTATTTTGAAAGAGATTGAAATACCATACTTTTAATAGTTGATTGCATTTTGAACTACCATTGTAATACAAATTTTAATGATATTTGCTAGTGTTGTGTATTCTGGGCTTTTGTTATTTTTTTTCCTTCAGGAAAAGCCTCAGCTGGAATCAAATTATTATAGCGTACACTTATATTACAAGTTTTTCGCTCTTGTGGTTGTGATTTCCATTAAAACCTAGTCGATAGATGTTATACTACTTAACTCTTGCAGAGGTTATTACTGCTTAAGCATTTTGTGGTTGTAGGATTTACTTTAGGATTTATTTAACTGAGTTTCTTACATTGTTTTACTCAAGTGTAATAGTTGAAATCATGATCC